ACACACACAAATACACACATACACATACACACACACAAACACACACAAAAACACACATTCACATACACACACAGACATAAGAACACATACACATACACACACAGACATAAGAACACATACACATACACACACAGACATAAGAACACATTCACATACACACACAGACATAAGAACACATTCACATACACACACAGACATAAGAACACATTCACATACACACACAGACATAAGAACACATTCACATACACACACAGACATAAGAACACATTCACATACACACACAGACATAAAAACACATACACATACACACACAGACATAAGAACACATACACATACACACACAGACATAAGAACACATTCACATACACACACAGACATAAGAACACATTCACATACACACACAGACATAAGAACACATTCACATACACACAGACATAAGAACACATTCACATACACACACAGACATAAGAACACATTCACAACATCATTCTGTGTCCGTTACATTTTGTTTGTTTGTTTTTGTTTTTGCTTTCATTTTCTTTTTTTATCGATACGCACTCAAAGACTTCAACCCCGCCCTCCTTCTCTGCCCCACCCCACGCACTCTAACTCTCTCTCTCTCTCTCTCTCTCTCTCTCTCTCTCTCTCTCTCTCTCTCTCTCTCTCTCCTCTCCCTCTCTCTCCCTCTCTCTCTATCTCTCTTACACACAGAGAGGCATACATACATACACACACACACACACACACAGACATAAGAACACATTCACATACACGTATACAGAGACACAAGACAAAATATAGAACAGAGTACGCTAGGGAAGAACAAGACTAAAGACGAGCGAAAATGATTGAACATTATCCGATTAGAATTAAGTTAAAACACAGGAGCATGTTGCGAGACAGGAGGGCTTAAGAAGGGGGGATAACAGGCCGAGAATAAAGGGGTAAGGTTTGGTGGGAAGTGTGCGCAGGGGAAAAGGGCGAGAGGGGGGAAACCAGAGTAGGAGTCGGTAGGATGCAGGAAGAACAAAATGGACTCAACCAAGTGAGTGCCGGGGGTAAGGGCAAGCAATATTAAGTTTGGGTTGATA